ATTTGAATGTACAAGTATGTAATATGGCTGAATAAAATAATAACCGAACTGAAGGACTAAAGCAACTCAACTAAATCAATATATGAATATGAAGTGAAAACCCTTTGAGTTATACAATAAAGATATGTAATAAAAACAATATGAAAATAATATACTTTACTTGTGGGAGTTTCTCTAACCGATAATTATTCCTATGAGCCTAGCAATGATAAAATGTTTCGCCCACGTTGCAAGGGTCATCCTATACTTTGATGGAGTATAGGATGATATTGTAATTATGGATCCATCTAATAGGCCTTCTCAGAGGCAGTGAGGAGTCGCACGAAGAATTAGTGTTATCCTATCCTACGTTGGCTACGTAGTTTATTGGGACTTTTGAGTTATAATAGACTTTTACCCAATTCAGTGCTCGATACTACTCTCAAAATAATAATAACTATCAATTATGCTCAATTTTCCCTTACAAAAAAAGGACTACGCTTGTCGAAAAGTGTAACACCCGGACTTTCCGAAACGTCTAAAATTACTCGTATCTCCATGGAAGACAAGGAGGGTGGGTAATAAATTAAGAATGATGTGGTATGTCCTATTTTAAGTGTTCAAGTGTTGCATCTCAAGTTTTGAAGTTAGGTAAGTGGCAAAATAAAAGTTGGCGGAAGTTATCGTAAGTTCCTTCTTAAAGATTTCTCTGAAATTGGGTCAAATGTCTTGGAGGTTTTCTCCCAATCTATAAAGATTTATGGGGCCCACAAACTATCGAATCGAAGGTCTACGAGTCTAGTTTCCAACGCATCAAACCGTTTGTTCATACGACTTCAGAATAGAGATATATTCGCATTTTCGTAAGACTGCGCAAGCAAGCACGTGAGGTGGGGCCCTAGGTCGGTGGAAAGTTGCATATATCTTCTTCTTCGAAATTTTTCTTCATTTTTAAGCTAATAACCAGAGAAAATAGATAAACTCATTTCTAGGATCAAGTGACGTATAGATTTTCTCGACTTAAGTCCTTGACGAAAGTTGTTCTACGCGTTGGGCTCATCATCGTGGTATAATTTGTTTTATCGATTGCGTAGCATATCACACTTTAGTGTTGGGACAGCAAGGGTTTGAATATATTTGAAGGTTTTGAGGCATATTACGAACCTAAGATAGAGGTAAGACCCTCCTTTCATCGACTCTAGCTTTTATAAGCAGCAAATAGCAATTTGCAACGGAAATACATAT